CCAGGTGGTGCCGTGAGCGCGAGCCTTGGCAGCGTCGAGAGTCAGTCGCGAGTTCTCGACGTTCTTGCGAGCACGCGTGGCGAACATCAAGTTGGTGTTCAGGGTGGTGTTCCAGCCAGCAAGGAATCGGCTTTGGATCTGGGCGTCCTGGGCCATGCGAGCCTCACCAACACGCTCCATTGACAGTGCATACTTCTCCAGAGCCGTAGCCAGAGGGTCCTCTCCGGCGCCGGTGTGCTGCTGGTGGAGGACCTGGCTGCTAGCCAGACTGGCACGGGCGATGGCATGGTTGAAAGTCTTGGGCTGGGGCTTCGCGGAGGGAGGTGCTGTCAGAGCGGCCTGGGCCTCGGCAGGAGAGCTTGCGGAAGACAGAAGAGTGACCTTCTCGCTGACGGTGCGGCCGAGATCCTGGAATGTCTCCTTGATGTTGGGCGGGTAGTCGTAGGCTTCGTTCGAGTATTGTGAGCTGTCGAGACGCCGTGTTAGTGGGCAAGGACGCCGACCCTGATGCGGATGCAATGGTTGCATAGCACTCACGTCACAGCCAGCATCTTCTGGTGGACCTGCTTGAGGGCGTCGACTCTCTTCTCGAGATCAATGTAGTCAGGAGGAAGCTGGGTCTGTCACGGTGGATATCGATCAGCCTTCGCTCGGGGTAATGACGAGGTAGCTGGGTTGGCAAGCAACTACTGACCTTATCCTCGGCTTGGCCGAGCTGCTCCTTGGTGTATTGGAAGGTACGGGAGGCAAAGGGGGTGATTGAAGCCCCGAAGGAGCTGGTTTGCGCACTATTCGTCAGCCTGGAGATGCCCCTCTCAATACGTGAGCCAGGTGCGCGACAAAGGCGTACGTAAAGTTCTTTCCGAGGTTCTTGAAATCCATCGTTGCGGTAATTTTGGGCAGCGTCTGGAGAGAGAAATGCGAATCTAGAATGGGAGTTCAAAGTCGATGCGTAATATTGTCTTTGCAAGATGACGTTGGCAGCGACGACAGCGGTTGTGGTTGATGAAGTTTGGCCTCGTGCCTATCAGCTTGAGGTAGACAAGTATCCCGTAAAGTAGGCAGGTACCTCAAATTAGCAGCACAGCAACGTTCACTTCTACCTAAGGTAGCATGCTGTCACAGGCCATCCATTTTCCCCTGGACCAGCGCCAGGGAACGCTAAGAGTCGCGCTAGACACGTGACAGATGGATCCGCAGAGCAACTGGACAGTTCAGTGTTTCTGATTCGTGCTGCTCAGTCATTCGGAATTGTGCATGCACGGGCACAGCAACCTGTATTTTTACGCTTCAATGCCCACTCTTAATTCAGGAAGCTTTATAGGTGGGTGATCGTCATTCTCCCCCTGGGGTTGTGGTGCCTTTCCCACGCACCCAAGAATGCTGAAGAGTCGCCCGATATCTTAAACGGGTTGAGGTTCAATCACGTTGTACCCTGACAACCACCTCCCGCTGGAATGGTCTGTTCGCTCGTGCCGGCCAACAATGTGGTTCTCAACGAAATATCATGAGCAAATTGGCCCTTTCATTGACCCTTTCATTGACCCTTTCATTGACCCTTTCATTGACCCTTTCATTGACCGGTTTATTGATCCCTGCTTTTCCTGTCCTTGAAACGCCACAAGTCTATCATCAAAATCTATGCGCACGGCTCAACGCCGGAAACGCCCCCCCCCCCCTCAAGTCTTAGTCTGGTGGTTTTGAATCTGCCCAGGACGGTTCAATGTTACGGCAGACATTCTCGTAGTCTAGCAGCTTGGGATCGCTAAGTGGTAGATGCGGTGTTGTCCAGAACATGGTCCAGTTGGTATCCCTGAGCTTCCATGTTCCAAGAGACCGCTCAAAATACCACTTGTTCACCGGATTATCCTGTCGACTACGCCAACACACTCCTTCAGGAAAGCAACCTCGGACCATGGCGTTGAAGACCACATCCGCAACCCCGCCGCTCCCTTGGCGGCTTTTCAGAACTGCAAACTTGTCGAGGTAAGGTACAAGCCGTCCTGTTTTGTAAGCTGTTTCCTCGTCGATACCAAAGGGCTTTTCCCATGTAAGGATCGCGCCGCCTTCATATTCCCCTGCGATGATGATACCAGCCAAGTTCTCGTTGACGCGGTCAAGATAATGTTGAACATCTAACTCTCTGTTGAATGAGTCGTTGATAAGGTAGACCAGCCGCGGAAGATCTATGCAGGTGTCTGTGAGCCTCAGACGAGGTGCTCCTGGTCGAGGAGGCAGCCAGGCGCTGATCGTAGGGTCGGGATACACCGTCAACGGCATCCCCCGTTTTATAAGTGTGGCCACATGAGCATCTCCCGAGACGGCGTCGCCTTTTTTCCCTGAGCGGACTCTTTCGATTGGTAGCGATGAGGAGAAGACAGGCTTGTCTGTTAAGAGGTTATGTATCAGAGGGTTCTGCCTGTTACGCGTCGTAACTCTGGTAAATTCTTGGATGGGCTTATTGGCTGCGGCTGCTGGTGTACTGATGATAGCCGACGACGTTGACGGCAACATGGCAAGCACGCTCTTGGCGAGTTGCAGGTTACGAGCATGCTGTTGCCGCACACTCTCGGACACCTTTCCCCGTCGCGCCTCTGTTCCCGACGGGTGTGTGAGGGCATACATGATGCCCTCGAATTCTTGTTCCAGGTTAATATAACGGTGGCATGAATCGTGCTCGTCCGCGAGCGGTGTCCCCCCCGCAGGATCTAGGATAATGACCTTTTCGACAGAGGCCACCTTGACTCCCGCACCCTGGGTGGATCTCGGCAATTCCACGGGGGTCTCACTCGCATTCAACTGAAGTCCACAGAAGTACTTTGTGAGGGCGACGATGGTCTCGTCAGCATCCACCACATCAATACTCTTCATGTCAGTAGCCATCGTCACGGGGGGTATGACCACAATTGCATTGTCCTGAAGAGCTCGAAGCACCATGTGTGGGTACTGAACGTAGACGCTAGAAGGCATGAAGCCCTTAGTGTCAGCCGTGTGCTTCTCTGCCTCGCCAACGCACTGGTCTAGAAGGATCGAGCCCGGTTCACCAAAGATCTCCACAGCTTGTTGAACCCGCCAAGACTGCTCTCTGAGAATCTTTCGAGACGACTGCGATCCTCCGTCAAGAACGATGACGCTCACAAGTCCAAGTTTGCGAAGTTGCGAAAACGTCTTGGCGATAGCGCTCAGCGTTTGGTCGTCCAGGTCTTGCGGAAGAGTCATCTTGACAATGGCGAGGTTGATGGGCTCATCCTCTGGCACACATTCCTGTTTCTTCGGCGTACCTTCGCCCTGGATGAACTTCGGTGACTGGTTGACAACTCTGATAGAAGAGTAGGTCTGATCTGGTGTTTCTTGAGAAGCACCCGTCTTGCGCTTCTTGGCGTTATTTTCGCCTGGCGGAGCATATTTCTGCAGGTAGCCCTTGGCATCACGGCGAGTGGCTGAAGCCTCCAGCACAGACACTATGAAATCCTATAACAATAGTCAGAGGTTGTTGCATGGCGCAGTGATCATTGAGAGGGCATACCCGATCTTCAGCCCTCTTCTTTTCTCGTGCCTTGGAGCTAGAAGAGTGTCTGACAGCTGACAAGGCAACTTGCAAAGCTTCGTCCTGCCGGGTGCCACCCGACCTTGGACGGTGATACAGTCTGCGGTTGGGTGGGCAGCATGAATCGAGAGCGAAAGGCGCCTGATAGTACGAGTTAGAAGGTGCGCAATAAAGAGCGGAACTCGGCGTGCAAGGGCAGATGGAGACTCACTCTTGAGACCAAATGGCCAGCCTGCTTTAGCGCAGGAGGACGCATATTGGCCAGTGACTTTGCTGCGGTGGCTAGGGTAGAAAGCTGCTGAGAAGAACTTCAAAGCCAGATCCTGGATACCGTCTTGGGGGAACGGCCGCAGAGCTTCGAAATGAAATGACGAGGTCCAGTCGTCAGCTTGCTGCCAGCATCTGCTCTGCAATGGCTATGGATTTGAGAGCAAACGCAGGGGAAGCTGAACACCGGTTTCGCGAGCACTATTGTTGGACTCCACAAGCAGCGCGTGTCGAGAAGGGGGGAAAGGGTCAAAGCCCGGCCATCTCTTCAGACGGCCATGCAGAGCGAGGTCTGTTCGGGCGACGATCAATGACACTCTGGACAGTGCTCGGAAGGATGGCGTGTGTAGAAAGACAGTTTGAGGAGTCGGTAACGAAGCTCAAGAGCGAAGGTGAAGACGCCGGGCCCTGACCCTGCTTAGGACCAAAGACTTCCCACATTGTGAGTCAATCAACCTACCAGAAGCCCGACTGATAAGCGGATAAGGCCTGCATGGTCCCCATCACGGAGCCGGCGATCGGCGACCGTAATGTATCACCGTAGCACCGAGGCGAGAAGTCGGACAAGCAACAGAGGTAGATGGCAACTTGAGAGAAGCGGATAATTGGCGCATAGTCTTAGGCTGTCGCGGCATTTCCACTCGCCCGCGATGCGCTGCTGCGAAATAACTCAACATGTGACGGCCCGCTATCTCTCAACTGACCATCGCCTGAAGGGCTGCTGCGCGCAATGAAATCACTTACACCAGATGCAACGGGCAACGAGGCAGGTTGTCGACATTACTGTGCCGCGACGCAGCAATTTGGCTGCATGGACGGGAGCTGCCGCAACCCCGTTCCATCGGAAACAAAGCCATCGTCTCGGTCTCCGTTGATGTACCAGGTTGGGGCCCTAGCCAGGTACTTTGAAAGCGCCTCAGTGCTCCAGTGTCTCTGCGTTTGCCGACCCCGCTTCTAACTAACCTACTGAGTGGTGGTGCATCAGCCCGCGTTGTCACCTCCAGTTTCATTAGACCGGATCCCGAACCAACTGCCGCTGGCAAGTCACTTACTTCATCGACCAATGCTTGTTCATCCACTGACATCAAGCACTTCCGCCTACATACATAGGTTTGTTCTTCTACTCGACGTCGGCTGATACGTGAACCTCTCAAGTAATTCCCCATTTATAACGACAGCTTTCACAATGTCCCGGACTCTACTCTGGATCGGCCTTGGCAACATTGGGAGGGTGAGTGAGCCTGTCCACGTCTCCACAAGTTTGATTACCTACCTGGTCAGACAAGAACACTCACTGATCATTCTTTCATCCCAGGGCATGTGCCGAAATCTCGTCGAGAAAGCTCAACTCGACAAGCCACTGCTCATTCACAACCGGACTGTGAAACGTGCTACGGATCTCTGCCAAAGTCTGCCAAAGGGCAAGTCCGAGGTTGCAGAGTCTCTCGCTGATGCCATTGACAAAGCCGACATCATCTTCTCCTGCATCGCCGATGACAAGGCTGTAGAAGAGGTCTTCGCCGTTGCTACTAATGGAGACATCAAAGGCAAAGTATTTGTCGAATGCTCAACCATTGCTCCCGAGACGACCGACGCTGTCGCAAAGTCGGTTTTGGAAAAGGGCGCTGAGTTCATCTGCGCGCCCATCTTTGGGTCCCCCGCCATGGTAGCCGCTGGGAACGCGACGTTGGTTCTTGCAGGCCCGGAAACGTCGATCAAGAAGATCCGCCCGTACGTCGATGCGATGGCAGCCCGGGAAATCAACATGGCCGACGAACCATACCGCAAGGCATCGACTCTGAAGGTGCTTGGTAATACCGTGATCCTCGGCATGGTTGAGCAGCTTGCCGAAACATATGTTGCTGCAGAGAAGAGCGGCCTGGGAACGGGTTACGTGAAGCAGTTTGTTGAGGCCATGTTTGGTGGCAGCCCGTACCCGGCGTACACAAACCGCATGCTGGAAGGCGATTACTACAAAAGAAATGAGCCCCTGTTCGCCGTGGACCTGGCGAGAAAAGATGCCCGCCATGCCATGGCTATTGCGAAAGCTGCCGGCACGCGGTTGCAGAACATCGAGACTGCTGACAAGCATCTTGAAATCGTCAAGGCACACGTTGGACCTTCGGGTGACATGGCAGGTATCTACGGTGCAGTGAGGAAGGAATCTGGCCTCAAGTATGAAAACGACTCATAGACATAGAAACATGTAACGACGGGTACGAATACTTGTTTGTCAAGCCATTCCATTACTGTTGCAGAGCGCTCATGTCCCCTGGGCACAGTCAGTTAGGCGTCGTGGCATGCAATACACTTCATAAGCTACCTTACTGTACAGACTGAGAGTACGTAGTATTCGTGCCTAGCTGGTATTGACGGGGTTATTTGTGACTAAGCAGACATGCAGTAGGCGATCACAGTGATTCAATGTCCGCCTCCTGTTTCTACACTGTGCATGCACGGCGTGTGTAGCTGCATCGGTGGAGCCCAGTCCCAACCTCATAGCGTGCTCTCAGCCTCCTGTCACCGAACGACGACAGCACTGGATCAATCGACGAAGCGACAGCACTGTACCATCGCAAGCCTGACGCCTACTGCTTTCTGCATCGAGGAATTTCTTGAAAACCAGCAACATGGCGCAAGGGCATGTCCCTCCGTCTTTTTCCATTATTGACGCGACGCTGACACAAGCCCAACAGGTATAGCATTTTCGTCGGCCTCGTCATCGTCGCTGCCATGGCCGCCGCTGCCTGGTTCCTTTCTCCAAAGGGCGAAACCCAAATGTAAGCTATCATGAAGCTCTGCGATGCCGACAAGTGCTCTGGCGTTCCTTCGTTGCACTGTGACTGACGTTAGCTTCAGCATCTGGAGATCCTCTCTCCTCCTGGCCCTCGCATGTTGCTATCTCATGTGGGCCATCACGTTCCTCGCCCAACTCAACCCCCTGATCGAACCGCGACGCAGCGACATCCGACCGGGCTTCGAGCACCACTAATGAGATTGATGTGCTGGCGGCACAGCACCGCGATGGAACCGATGTACTATTACTGCTTCGCACTACTACAATTTCATATGGCTGGCGTTAGGGATTGGCTGGGGTTCTGTTATAGTTGGTCAAGAGGCCGGCTGTCGTACACTTTGACGAACTCGTATTAAGCTCTGGTCGACGACAAAGTGTGCCGGGGAGATCGCACGCGAAGCTGGTGCAGCACCAGACGCGTCAGCGGACACGCAAGGGGCACAAGGACGCAACATCATGTTTACGCTATGTCAGATATTAAATGCTACGGCGGGTTTCCTGCCCATGCCATTGCTCCTTTGCTATCTTCTGTTATCCGGCTGCCAAGTCGCTCGCCCATTCCCTGACGTACATAAGCAGAGCCCAGAGAGCCTTACCATCTGCGGCAATGCTCGTCTCCCCGATAGAATCAACACCATCCAACCCGGCAGCCCAGAGAATACCACGCCCTACTGACCACCGCGCGAGAGCACCGGTGGTGGCCAGCAGCGTGGCGACTCCATAGCCGCAGTCCAAAAGTATCCGAAGAGCCTCAACATTGTTCGCAACAACGGCCCACCCGAGCGATCGCGCAGCAGCCGGCACGTCGTACTGCCATATAACCATAAGAATGGGAAAGAGCTTGGTCGAGGAAGAGACAAGGAGTGCGGTCGATACGGAATTGGGACGAGAATAACGAGGCAAGATATTGAACATGCTGAGCGGGGAGAGTGTCGACGAGGTCATGAAGCGGATGCTCACGTGAAAGGCGACGGTCGATAGAGCACAGAGTATGACTAGTGACGCGAACCGTTAGTTCCTATGGAAGCAGCCGCATCGGCAAAGGGAACAAAGAACGTACGGAAAAACATGTATTGCGACACGATTGACTGCTGCGTCAGACTTCCTAGGTTTGCGCCCTCGTCTTGGGCCGACATAGGACCAGTTTGCTTCTCAATGCGGGCCCAAGTCAGGTAAACGTCGAAGAGTAGCAAAAGCACGCCCAGCCGGACGATGGAAGACTGAGTCGAGGCGGATGATTAGTGCGACTGTCTCTTTGGCTTTGGAAAAGGCTCATATCTAGACCTACATCAAAGCGGTCGTCGTCTTTCATCAGTGTGTTGTGGAGTAAATGGCGGTAGACCTGAGGCTTGATCAAGACGAGGTCGATGAAGAGCACGACGAAATCGTGCTCCACGTACTTGTCGCAGAACTGGCCGCAGTTCCTACAAACGGTCAAGCGAATGTTGTGGCCGCTTGACTTGTCGTCCGCATTGGAGTATTTGGTCCATAGTGTCTTCACCGGGTGCCGGCATTCGATACAGATGGGCATGTCGAACAGAGTCGGTACTATGCACGGGGAGAAGGTAGCTTGCTATCGCCACGCGTCATAGCCGAAAACCCCAGGCAGGCTCTAGCTGAGTCGCAACTGTGGTTGTTACAAACTGATGTTCGACTCAGCCTTGTCTTTCGGATGTGATGTGGTTTGAGCCTGGCCTTGGTTAAATCTGCAGCAACCTCACGCTGGTGGTGCAGACTCGCATGTGTGGGGCCGCTGAACTACATCGCCCATGACACTGTAGGGACGTGGAGGGATGTCGGGGCGGAGCGCGAGGTCGGAATTCCCATGCCATCTCCGTCCACATTTCTACAGTGTGCCATGCAGGTACCTGAGGTAGCGACACTATCCGTACCTACCTACCTTAAGGTAAGGTAAGGTAAGTACCTGTCCTAAGCCCCACCTCGTACCTCAGCAATTACCTAGAGCCCGCACGGAGGCCGCTGATTCGGGTCCCAAAAACAGTTGAAGCGAATTGGGGGAGAGGGATGACAGCACAGCCAGGCTCCAGTGCAGCCACAAATCCAATCCACCCCGCTGCAAGCACCGCTAATCATCATTAAGCAATGGGACAGGGCTCCTGAGTTTGGTTACGTCGTCTCAAGGGTCCCGTTCCCAAACTCCCAGCCCAGCCCAGTCCGGTCCCATCCAATTCCCGTCTCTAAGAGCCAAGCCAAGCCAGTCCAGTCCACGTAGCCGTAAGGTACCCTGGGTGCGTGGTGGTGAGGTCCAGAGGAAAGGCACGCAATGCGCACGCTCCTATCTGTCTACATTACCTCACGCAGTAGCAGTAGCAAACCTTACCTAGGTCTTTGGACACCCGACTCTGTCTGTCTGTCCCCTACCTTACTTGTACCTACTTCCCTTTCCCGTGCCTCAGCTAACCTCCATTACCCCAACTGCCTTTCGCAGCGAGTCTGCAACTACCTTACCTACCTTATCTACTTGACATATTGTACCTGCGCAGGTACTCAACGCGGCTGCACATCAATACTCTTTCTCATCTTTCTTTTCATCCACTCATTCCTCACTTCCTAGCCGGCTGCACTCATTTCTCCCTGAAGTGCGCCCTGGATCCCCCCTCAGACTCTTTCAAGCGCGTGTCCGCATACTCTCCGACATCTGATCGAACTTAATCCTCCCTCCGACGGTTCTGACGACCTCGATCAATTCGCCATTTACGTTCTTCGTTCTACCTACCGTACTCCGAAAGGTTGGTGTTAGGAAGGGGTTTTCGAGCCTGGCCAACGAAGTTCTGTCCCTCGACCTGCCGCCCATCTGAGTGAGCGACCGACCTTCGTCGATGATTGAAGCCGCGCGCTGATGCCATCTCTCCAATCTGTGTGCCACCTTTCCGACGAGGTGGGCGGCCTTCCTCGACTATGGCGGACTCCCTGAACCCGGTTGGGTCGGCATCTCAAATGGCTTCATCCGCCCTCCTGCCAGCACGTCACGATGCCGAAGCTCGGCCACGTAATCGCCGACTTATCAGCACCGCCGAGGACTCACCCACAGGCCCCATGGAGAGGTTGACGGCTTCCTTTTCTGCTCTTCGGTCCCCGACCAGCCGCGAACCGAGCCCTATGCCCTCCGCTCAACTGTCCCGGGACAGCTCTGCCAAACCAACCTCTCGTAGTGCATCCGCCACGAATCGTCGAAATAACACTGCCCCGTCAACTGCCAGTTTTCTGGACACATCTTGGTCTCAAGGATGGGCTTCGATTCAGGGCTTGGCTTCGTCCCTCTTGTCCGGTGGGAGTGTACACGATGCCGGCTACGAGTCAGATCACAGAGAGGGGAGGCGAGGTGTCAATTCCTTGAAAAGAGACTACTCTACCCCCCCGCGAAAGGCACCCATAGCCTGGGGTCCTGAGCCGCCGTCCACTTCTCGCCCAGGTCATCAGGACATAGCAGCAGGTTCTCTAGCAGAGAGGGAGGCCGCTCTCAAGGCTGCACGAACAGCGAGCGTATTGCAGAGTCACGAAGGCGTCAACGGGGGGCTTGATGTGACGGGCAAGTACAAGAGGAGGAACTCAGATGAAATCGCCAGGGATAATGTACAGGATGAGGAAGTGCAGGACCAGTTGGTGTATATCCATCACGTGCAGCCAACTGACACCTATGCGGGCATAGTGCTCAAGTACCGGTGTCGCGAAGATGCTTTCAGAAAAGCGAATGGTCTGTGGTCCAGGGATATTCAGGTCCGCAAATGGCTGGCCATACCCGTAGACGCCTGCGAAGTCAAGGGCCGCCCGTGCGAACCCCCTTCCCACGACGGTCAAGCAGTCGACCTCCTGGCGCCCACGCCGGAACTCAAGAGTGGTCACGGACATAATAGTCTGACATCGGATCATTCACAACCAGTCGACTTTTTCAGCCTGCCGACCACCAATGGACTGGCGGATGCTAAGAACGAAGAACCGGAAGATCCGCCATGGACGCACGTTCGATGGGTGACATTGGATTCGAATCCAAACCCGGTCGAGATTGCCCGTGTGTCGAGGAGGTCGATTGGATACTTCCCGCCGCGGCGCAAGAAAAGTCTTCGCTCTGCTGCCTCGACATTGTCAACCCCAAGACACTCGCTCGACGCCTCCGGCTTTGGGGCCGGTTTCACAGAGAGCCCGGAACAAGTAGGCAGGCCGTCTTCTCGTAGACAAAGCAACCTGAGCACCAGGCCAAATCTGCCGAGCACACCGGGAAGGTCGACGCCAGCTTCCTCCAGGAGCAGAATGAATAGCGATGCAGCGGACACACGACCGGCGTGGATGAGGCGGCCTGGCGGTGTCGGCTCTATGGGTAGAAATGTGCGGGCGCCTGGCCCAGACAAGGATTACTTCAACACTTGGGCCAAGAAGCACCTCCCTGGCATCGCCATCGACGAATCTCTGCCGTCCATCTCCGTCATGGGATCCGAAACGGCGCATTTCGGTTTTCGGCCTGGGTCTAGCAGCGGTATTGTGGAAAGCCCGTTCGACGAGGGACAGGATGTAGCGGCAGCCTCCCGGCAGGGCTCTGGACTTGATCGCGCTGCCGCTGCTGTGGAGACATGGCTGCGCGGCGCGTTTGCCAAGTCTCCCGGGACGCCCACGCTAGGGGGCCGGGGGCGTCAGCTGGACGATCTTGACTTGATAGAGTTGACGGATGCCAACAGCGACGACGGCAGGCTGCCAATCCCGGCTGTCGGCGGGGGTGGTGTTACGAGCACAGGACTGCTGGAGGCCACGCCGATGTCAATTGGTTCAACAGGGAGGAGTGATGGAGGTGGGACTGTCAGAGGACGTGGTTCAACCAACAGCTCGAGTGCTGCCAAAGGCAAGAAGTCCGATTAGACATTGACAATCGACAACAAAACCATCCGTGAGCCAATGGAATCCTCTGATAGCATCTTTCTTGGGTACCAGAAGCCGCCGCAGGAGTGGAGGCGGCAGCGGCAACAATGACGACGACGACGATGGTGCGTGGGGTGGGATGTGCTGGCCGTCGTGTTGTTTCACTTCATCGAGATAAGACTGTGCATGGGAAGGCGTTAGCGGGCATGACAGGGGCAGGGCAATGGAAACAAAGGGCTTCCTTCATTGCCGATGGCAACCTCAGCAGGAGGGGGGTCTCAAAGCTCTCTTGAATTTCCAGCATGATTTATACATCTTCATACTAGACTTGGAACAACGGGTGCTTCTTCTTTCTTGTCTATTTTTGTCCCTGGTTTTTTCCTTTTGAACCCGATGACTTCTGGAGGCAGAAGAGAGAGAGAGGTGTGCGTTAGGAGGCGAGCGGCTCACAGTCCAGTTACGCCGACTAGACAAATTCTCGATCTATCCATGTTCACATAGTTCAGGAACTGAATTGTTTTGAAGCTCATTGAATATGAGGCTGGGTAGATCCGGAGCATGCATTCAGTGGCCTAGATTGGGCGTCCCTCAAGTCCACCCAGGTTATGGATGTGTGTCTTCGTTGAACGGTTCTCAAACAAGGTAGATCTCGCCGTACCACTATTCTTGGTATCTCCCGTTTCCCTGGCGGTGTTCTCTCATGGAGGAACGCGCAATGCTCCCAATAAGCTATTCTACGACCAAGGCCCATCGGCCCGCCACACATAACTCCAGTACCGCCAACTCACGCGGTGTCTTTGCCCATTGCCCCTCACCAAGAGGCATATAGGGGGCAATTATGAATGGCCCTGCTGTCTATCCCTCACCTTTCTCAGACCTACTGAGGTCCCAGCCCCAAGTCGATATTCATGTTCGCTAGGTCCCCGTTGTTGATACCGAAAAATTGGAACCTGTTGCCAGATGTTAGTCCACAAACCTTCATGCTTTGTCTGTGTCAGCATGCTCGCTCGACGTACCAGTCTTCAACGTTGAGAGTATTGGGAACAGGCTGCCCTTGTGCAGATCCTGTGCTCCAGCTGTCGCTGGGACTGTGCCCATCTGGCATCAAGCCATCAAAGTTGGCCGTCCACAAACTACTGTTCAAATTGCTATTGTTCTGCCCATGGCCCTGTTGCTGTTGTTGCTGGAAACCCTGCAATCCCGGTACTACGTTGTGCCCTTGCGGAGGGCTTCCGCCTAGCCCTGCCTTCGTTGCTGCTCTCTGTTGGAATTGACTGTTCTGGCCAGACAAGCCACCCTGCAGATTGGGATTTTGAAGTTGTGCCATGAGCCCAGCGTCTATGCCCCCTTGGTTTGGGACCGAGGGAGACATTTGAGGAAAAGCCGGCATGCTGGCGCTATCAGGGAATAACTGATCGGGCTGGAAGTTCTCCCATAGTGATTGCGAAATGTTCGGCGAGTTGCGCGTTACCAGGTATAGATCTGGTGGCGTTGCTGGGACTGAGAATGACGGGTTGAATGGAGTCGCCGGCCTCGTCTGTGGCCTCGAAGATGTTCCACCCATGAAGGTGTCGGCATTCTGTCTAGCATTTGGAGACGTGGGTGGTGGCATGGTTTGGGAGTTGGATGATCCGTCGCCCTTCATATGGCTGGGCGTTTGAG